TATTTTCACATGTATTCTACTTCTGTATATTTTTTTTTGTGTTTTTATTTCTTTGATTTTTGTATTGTTATTTCTTATTTCAATCTTATTTTATTTCTCTTTTTTTGGTATTTTTAATTGCTATATTTATTTTTTAGTTTTTTTTATTTCCTATTTTTTATTTTCTTGGATTGTTATTTCCTATTTTCATTTTTTTTTCTTATTTTTTTTGTATTGTTATTTCCTATTTTCATTTTTTTGTATTGTTATTTTCTATAATTATTTCTTAGTTTTATTTATTTCTTTTTTTATTTGCTATATTATTTTTTTTGTATTGTTATTTCCTTTTTTTTTGTGGATTTTTATTTATTTTTTTAAACTATTTTTATTTGCTATATTTATTCCTTTTTCCCTATTTTTATTATCTATTTTTGTTTCTGTTTTTTACTATTTTATTATCTATTTTTGTTTCTGTTTTTTCTATTATTATTTCCTATTTTTAGTGTCTGTTTTATTTTTTAACGTAGTGTAAGTGTCTGCTTGACAATACTTTAGGGTAAATATATGGCCCCAAAAAAAGGTGTTTAAAGCCCAAACTTTTTATTTTTTTTAATTTTGATTAGAGTACAGAATGATTAAAGTATAACTGAAGCCAAATATTTTTTGTTTGTTTTAGCTAGAGCGGAGAAAGATTAGAACGCCTGTCAGGTTTTTATCACAGCCTGTGTCCTCATTAGGGAGATTCACCCCCTCTATTTGTCCTGGTGAATGTTCTCACTGCCTGTGTCCCCATTAGGGAGATTCACCCCCTCTGCATTTGTCCTGGTGAATGTTCTCACTGCCTGTGTCCCCATTAGGGAGATTCACCCCCTCTTTTTGTCCTGGTGAATGTTCACACAGCCTGTGTCCCCATTAGGGAGATTCACCCCCTCTATATGTCCTGGTGAATGTTCTCACAGCCTGTGTCCCTATTAGGGAGATTCACCCCCTCTGCATTTGTCTTGGTGAATGTTCTCACTGCCTGTGTCCCCATTAGGGAGATTCACCCCCTCTGCATTTGTCCTGGTGAATGTTCTCACTGCCTGTGTCCCCATTAGGGAGATTCACCCCCTCTTTTTGTCCTGGTGAATGTTCTCACAGCCTGTGTCCCCATTAGGGAGATTCACCCCCTCTATATGTCCTGGTGAATGTTCTCACAGCCTGTGTCCCCATTAGGGAGATTCACCCCCTGTATTTGCCCTGGTGAATGTTCTCACTGCCTGTGTCCCCATTAGGGAGATTCACCCCCTCTATTTGTCCTGGTGCATGTTCTCACAGCCTGTGTCCCCATTAGGGAGATTCACCCCCTCTATTTGTCCTGGTGAATGTTCTCACTGCCTGTGTCCTCATTAGGGAGATTCACCCCCTCTGCATTTGTCCCGGGACTCTATTTAAAACAAACCAACAAAAAGTTTTGCCTTCAGTTCTACTTTAAAATGTTTTTTTTTTTGTGTGAAGTCTTTTGGGGGGAGATCACCCTTCGCCATCTAGTCCTGTAGATACACAGTGTGCTAACATGTACAGCTCGCAGTCCTCAAGGGAGCACAAGGCATCATGGGATGTCCACATTGGAGGGAGATGTGCACCCATGTATACGGTCCAGTTGGGAAACAGCCGATGGACACGGCATGTAGACTTCTAAGGACAAAGGGTAAGTGTTGGGGTACAAATTCTAACGCCTATTAAAGCACCTCAACTATTACCAACAATAGTATCTTATTTGTGTATCACTCGGCTGTAGATCCTCCAATCATCTCTGAATTGGTGCTGACACTGTCCTTCCTTCTGGAGGGGGGCTACGTCTGTTCCCCATGGTCCCTGTGTGTAGGGTTGCCACCTTTTCTTCCAGTGAAACCCGAACACTCTAGCAACGCACAGAATTTTTTTCGGACAATGAGTGGCGGCTCATTAATATGTAAATATCACAGTCGAGACTATTTTCAGTGGGGGGCCTGTAGCCCCTATCTTAATTTTGGTTGCCCATATCTGCCTGACATCTTGTGTCCAGGTTTCAGCTGCCATGAAACCCGGACACAGCATTCAAAACCCGGACTGTCCGGGTGAATCCTGGACAGGTGGCAACCCTACCTGTGTGTGTTGTAATGTACTCACCGCTCCAAGCTCGCTCCCGGGATGGACTACAATCTCAGTACGAATGAGTAAACTAAACATGAGATTGTAGTCCATCACAGGAGGGAGCTTGGAGCGGTGACTACTTTGTTCGCCATGGTCCCTGTATGCAGGGCAGCCATCAGAAATTTTAGGGCCCCTCACACGGCTTTAGGCCGGGCTCCCCCCCTGCGCCGCTGGACGCAGGGCCCACCTGAGAGTGACCCTGCAGAGCCCAGCATAGTTGCTGCATAGCCCATCTGAGACTGTCTATGGTGGGCTCTGAAGGGGTCTCAGGTGGGCTGGTCAGGGCTGCATCCCTCCCTCCCTCCTTTCCTTCCTAGCTCCTCTTACCTGCACACATGGCCTCGTCTGCCGCCGGACCGGCCAGAAGTGACGTCACTTCCGGCCGGTCCGACATCAGATGAGCAGCGTCGCTGATGGGGCCCTAGCTTGTCTCAAAGCCACTAGAGCGGCAATGATGGGGCCCTGCGCTGCTAGGGCCAGGCCTCTGCCTCCTCGCCCTTCACCGTTGGCCAATAGTCATGTAAGGGACCCGGGCGGGCCCCATAGGCTGCCTGGGCCCCTACATGAGTATCTGCCGTACCCCCCTGATGGCTGCCCTGCCTGTATGTATTGTAAAGTAGTCACCGCTCCAAACTCGCTCCCGGGATGGACTATAATCTCACGTTTAGTTTACTAGTGTGTATTGAGATTGTAGTCCATTATGGAAGTGATCTTGGAGTGGTGGCTACTTTACAACACACAAAGGGACCATGGGGAACAAAAGTAGCCCCCCTCCAGAAGGAAGGACAGTGTCAGCACCAATTCAGAGATGATTGGACGTGAGGACACTGGGAAACACCATCACTGGTGAGGAGGGAGATACAGGCTGCAGGGAGCAGCAAGAGCAAGCCAGGATCGCTGTTCAGGAGAGTACAACTTTATTATTTTAGCTCCCTAGACAAAGTGAGCACTTAACCCTTGCAGTACAGGGGTAGTCCCACTGCAAGGGTTAAGATTTGAGTTCTGCTTTAAAGATTACGGTCACAATTCCAAAATAATTCTTATTCTTGTGTTAAAGGCGTTGTAAAGTGCCGGCATCTCCTCTCCTGTTATCAGCATTGTAATAGGAAGACATATGGGAGATGTTTCTGATAATGCAATCAAAGCTTACATGAAAAAAATCCCTTTTATGTAGTGTAAGCGCTGCCTTCCGCCTGCCCATCACTTCCAACAACTTCCTGGATTCCCAGTGTGCTTTGCGTTCCTTTCCCTGCTGCTTGATGTGATGCAATCTCCATTTCTCAAGTCTGCATATCCCATCATGCATTGCTTCCAGCAAGCAGTCATAATGTTATATTGTTCAAACGTTAAGTTGTAGTTCAGAAGGCAGGCTCTGTGAGATAGGTGACAACAGGAAGTTCACATTCACAGGGCTGAGTGATATGGTGTCACTGCATTGAGGAAGTCCATCCTATGGGCATCTTCAGTAAGTAAGTGTACAATCTTCTAGATGGATCTGGTTATTAGGAGTGGGAGAGAACTTATGGAAATTCAATACAAAAATACAGATTTATTATTAGTTTTTGACCCGAGACAGAGGCGTCCCGAGGCGTGGTGACACCCCGCAGTGACGTAATCGCGTACACGTGTGACGTCACTGCACACGCACGTGATGATGTCACGCGTGGTACCACTGTTACCTGCCAGCAGACCATCTTGGTGATGGACGCCGGCAGAGAGAGGAGGGGACGTCACCTGGCGGGATGAGGTATGCATCCGGGTCCCCTCCTCTCTCGACCAAGTGTCATCTCTCGGTCCTTGACCAAGTGTCCGACTTTTCAGAGGGGGGTGACACCAAAATGACTGTCAGTCATTTTGGTGTCACCCCTTCAATGCTGTCACCTGGGTCCCCCCCCCCGCACTCCTCTTGTGACGCAACTGACCATAGATGCCCTTTTTTTTTTACTTTGTGAAATGAGCCCGTAGCTGAATGAGTGAGAGAACGCATATGCAAGGGTTTAGTTACGCTTTAAAACACACCGTCCCTAATTACCCGTTCCAGAACCGGCACACCTAGCTGGTCACAGTCAAAGGAAATCTGCACATGTGACTTCAAACGCATATCAGATGCAGAAAGACCCAGCTATAGCACAAAAAAACCCTCTGTGGGGGGAGTGATTAGAGAGTGTTCGCTGAGCTTAGTAAATAGGGTCAAGCTGGGTTTGCTTTGATTGCCCAATTACGTTCAAGATAAATGGAAACAAAAATAGAAAGAAATGTTTTTTTTATATAATTAGATTGCCCAATCAGGTTAGGGTGACTATTTCTTCTTTATGATCTCCCTCAGACCAAAAGCGAGCAGTTAACACTTGCACTGCAGGGTTAGCTCAACTGCAAGGGTTAATTATTTTTTTTAAACTTCTTTAAAGTGTGTGCATTTCTTTCTTTTTTGTAAATCCGGACTATTCCTTTAAATGAAGTCATGAAGTCTCATGTTTCCCCCAGGTTCGGTGTTGCTTTAATCCCATTCTCATGATTATTAGCTTCAGAAACAGTGTTGAAGAAGGAGGATGAGCTGGATAAGGGAGACTTCCCAGACATAGATACATTGTTACTTCTCTCTTCCTCTGAAGATCGGACTGTCTGTGGTGTTATCTCTTCGCGGAGTTCTTGTATTCCATCGGACACATTCGCTGGTTGTTCGCTGGCTGTGCGCTAGCCTGTCAATCTGCTGCGAGCCCCGCCCACCCATCCCGGCAGAGACAAGTCAGCGGCGCAGTCCGGGGCTCTCACCAGTTGATCGCTCGCAGCCAGCCTGACATGGCACAACGCTCCGACTCCTCCACGGGGCTGCAGAGACCTCTGCTCGCCCCTCTGTGCAGCCACCAGGACTAATCCGGAGCAGTCCTTGCCTTTCACCATGACTCTGTGCCCGCAGGACAGCTTGGGGCAGACTGCCCTGTACAATAGCAGCAGCAACTACGAACTCACTCCGTCCCAGAAGTGGCTGATGGGGGCAGCCTTGACCTTGATGATCCTGCTCATTGTGATTGGGAATTCACTGGTGATCATAGCCATAGCCAAGACCCCCAGGCTGCAAACCATGACCAACGTCTTCATCACCTCCTTGGCTTGCGCCGACCTGATCATGGGAGTCCTAGTGGTGCCCCCGGGTGCCACCATCCTGGTCACTGGCGACTGGCTGTACGGCATTGTGGTGTGCGAGCTGTGGACCTCCGTGGACGTCCTGTGCGTGACGGCCAGCATAGAGACCTTGTGCGTGATCGCGGTGGACAGGTACATTGCCATCACCTCACCCTTAAAGTATGAGATGCTGGTGACCAAAGCCAGAGCCAGGTTGGTGGTTTGTTTCGTGTGGGCTATCTCCGCTTTGATCTCGTTCTTGCCCATCATGATGCACTGGTGGAGAGATAACGAAAACCTCATAGCCAAGAGCTGCTACGATGACCCCAAATGCTGTGACTTTGTCACCAACATGCCCTACGCCATCGTGTCTTCCACCATGTCCTTTTACGTCCCCCTGGTCATCATGATCTTCGTGTACGCCAGGGTCTTCATCGTGGCCACCAGGCAGGTCAACCTGATAGAAAAGGACAAAGTGAGGTTCAACGGCACCCCGGTGCCCTCCACCAAAAACAAAAGGACTTCTAAAAGAAGGCCCTCGGGGCTGCTGGTCATCAAGGAACACAAAGCACTAAAGACTTTGGGCTTCATCATGGGCGTCTTCACCCTCTGCTGGTTGCCCTTCTTCGTGGCCAACATCATCAAAGTGTTTTGCACTTCGTTAATAGACGACAGCGCCTTCTTGTTTTTGAACTGGTTGGGTTACATTAACTCGGGGCTTAACCCCATCATCTACTGCAGGAGCCCGGATTTCAGGAAGGCCTTCAAAAAGCTGCTTTGCTGCAACGGGGCAGCCGACTGCAGACTGCACGCGTTGACCAAGGACCCTAAAAGGTATCAGTATCCCTCGAGCAATCAGCTGGACTGCGACGGGCTCAAACACTTGGCCGACGCCGAAATGGGCAACGGGAGCCTGAGTAGCAGTAGCCGGTGTAGCAGCAGGACTGAGGAGACCAGCCTGAAAAACAGCAACGGACATCCCCACCAACCTGACCAGTTCGAACCTGTAAGCCACTGAATGGAGCCTTCATTCCGCCAAGCGCCCTCGGCCGTATGACATTTTTTGGGCGATAGGGATTACCTTTTTTTTTTTATTTTGCTTTAATATGCACAAGTCCTTTACAGATAAATGTTTCAGCCATGGAGTCCTCCACTTGCTTGTTTTGTGAGTTCAAAAGCTAAGTCTGAGGATTCCCTGTGATCAAAGTGACATTACAGTATAGAAAAGAGCAGTTTCGAGTGTTTACTTGATACTCCTCTCGGGTTGATCCAACAATAGTTCCTCTGTATAGGTTATAGATGTCTTTTTTTTATACCGTGTTTGTCTGACTTATAAGACTACTACTATATTGTGGTGAACATGTATGTAACGTGAGCAGGGTTTTCTAGGAGATTAGAATGTTCCTCCCGAGTGGGAAAACATTCTAATTCTGTAGAATATGTTACACTGGCCATACACGGGGTCATCTCATGGCTCATGTGACGACGCGTCAGTTACGCCAATCTTGACAGATAAGTAAGTGATTGACAGTGAGTGTTGGCTCTACCCCGTGTGGGATGAAGGCGTCTGTCTTGCTGGAAACATTTTGCATATCGCTGTCGGTTGGACAGGTAGAAAAAAATCTGCTTGGAATAACAAAGTGATTTAGAAGCAGTCCTGTCACTTGCGAAGCAAGAACGCTGAGTTGCTCCTGCTGTCTTTTTTTTTTTAAAGCTGGTCTAGTATTGCCACCCTGTAATGAATACGCTTGAACAAATGTGCAGGGCTTCCCTGGCTGCTTGCTTGCTCCAAATCACTGACTGGCTAGGATCGTAAAACAGCAGCTCCGGAGCCCTGTGCCTTTAAAGCACACATTAACAGTGCAGTGGGGGGAGGAGGGGGGGAAGCCCCCCTTGCCGAGGGGCTGCCCCTGCCCTGCAAGGGTTAACTGCTCCTTTTTTATATAAAAGACTAGATATAGAAATCCTTGGAGGCGACTGGCTGCCACTCCTGTCCCTGAAGCCTGTCTCTTCCTCCGCGGCAGCAACGGCATCCTCGCGTCCTATACACTGTGAGTGGAATTTGTCAACATTGGAGCAGACAAAATCTGGAGCAGCTGTGCATGGCAACCAATCAGCTTCTCTCTTTCATTTTTAAAGCTTAAAAGAACAGACTGAAGAGAGAAGCTGATTGGTTGCCATGGGCAAATGCTCCAGATTATGTCTGCTCCCGTTTTGTTAAATTCCCCCCTGTGTAAAGACTGTGATGACTCAGGGAACTGCAGCGCAGGGGGCGGGAGAGGCTCCAGGGACCGGTCTAAAGCTGCCCATACACCTTAGGAATATCGGCCGATTTTCGCATGCGATCGCATTTTCGTCTGATATTCGTAAGGTTGCTGGGCAGTGTGCAACCGCAAATACTGTACAATCGATTGACTTTTGACTATCCAGCAGGTTAGAAAACTTCGGTCGATCGTATGACTTTCGCAAGGTCGGTGGCGTTTCCGTACGTCAAAATTCGTACGATTAACACTGCACATGCGCAGACGAAAATACGCGCGGTCGATTACCGCAATTTGTCCAGGCGCTTTCTTTTAATTACCGCTGATCCAACCTTGCGATAATCGGAGCAGGATGGGGCCCGCCGTATGAAAATCGTACGACGGTTCGATCATCGGACGAAAAGTGTCGTCCAGTGATCGCAAGGTGTATGGGCAGCCTAAGAGCCGTCTAGCTCCGAGGGTCAGGTGATGAGTAGGTAAGCCCAGCCCCCCTGTAAGGGTTAATAAAAACTGCTTTAAGAGGAGGCCAGCAATGGCAGCTTTTATATATCGCCCATTGCCAAGAAATGAAAGGGAGGGCTGCCCCTTACTTGAGCCCGTGCTCTGTGCCCAGGACCTTGCAGGTGACAATTGAACAACCTTGCGGGGAGTCTGTTTTACATTGTAACATTAACCTGGGCAGACTTGGCGGAAATGTACGACTTTTGCCCCCATTCACACCAGAGCGTCTTGTTGCGCATTTTCTAATGTAATGAATCCCATCTTTATGCACTTTTTTTATTTGCCTGATTTTGCACCTAGCAACCCCCTTCCTACTCCTTTCCATTGGCTAAAACAAAAACGCTCAAATGGGCGATAAAAGGTTAAAAAGTCGACTGAAAAACGCTGACGCTCTACTGTGAATGGGGTCCTATTAGGGCAGTGCGGGTCGCCCAGCTCTTTGCTTCTGTGACAGGTTGCCTGAAAAACGCTAACGCTCTACTGTGAACGGGGTCTTATTTGGGCAGTGCGGGTCTCGCAGCTTTTTGCTTCAGTGACAGGTTCTCTTTCAACCGTTCCTATTGACAAATGTCGGAATCTGGACGCGAGCCAAAGATCTTCCCCCGTGTATGGACGGTATCTCCGTATGCACTTTTTGAAAGACGCTGATATAGGAGCACACGGCAGTATTTTCAGGTAAATCGGATATGTTGTCGCTCGGGGGTCACGCGTTGAACAGCGATACGCAAGCCATAAATCTGGTGCTGTTTTTCCTGTCCTCGTTTTATTTTTCGTGGAATTGCCCCGTAGGGAGACACTGTTTTGCATCAACCCGTCTAGCCAGTTTTGTATAATGAAGCGTGCAGTCATTATCGGCTAGCATGTTATTAGCGAAATAGAGTTAAAACAAGCCGTGGATTTCAGTATCCATGCCTCGCAGCTAGGGAACCCTCGGAAAGTGAATGAAGCCACTTGTTTTGGAAGGCAGCTGCCGAGCAGCAGAGGAAAACAGCACCAGATCAGCGTTAATTCCGCCGGGACCGCTTTAGAAAGGCTAGAGGCAATGAGGAGTGGAGGTGTCGTCCGCAGCCACCAATCAGGGGCCAGCTGTCTGTCCAGCTTCTAATCCCAAAAAATAGAGATGAATGCTGGAACCGGATTGGTAATGTGTTCGACGCCGTCGCTCTCTTTTCCATTTCTGCATTTTGCACATGTTTTTTGCTAGAATAAGTCATGGATTGCAGCAGACGGCAGCACTACATGTGAGCCATCTGTAAGGTGTACCTGTTCCCTGTACACAGGAGGTGCATGTTCTGAACCCCCAAAAGCTGGCTGGCCATGTATGTTACAATCTAATTGTACAATCTGCTCAAAGTGAACCTTCACCCTCTCCACTCACTTTGCCTACTTGTCCTCCTACCCTCCTCTTCTCTCTGCTTTGGGCAGAGAGGGGGGAACAGGGTTGGACCATCATGGGAAGTGGGAGCATGCACCAC